TAGCAGGAGGATCACAAGTTCAGCCCCAGCCTGGGGAATTTAGTGACTTAGTGAGACCCTGTCTCAAAAATACAGTATATGGGGATGTAGCTTAATGGAAGGCCTTGGGTTTAGTCCAAAGCACTAAATGGTAAGCAAAAAAAAGAAGAAAATTTTTAAAAATAGTAAAATAAGGGACTTTAGGCACTGCAGCCCATTCACAGTGCACTTTTGATACATATCTCAGCCAACAACCACATAAACTATTAGCAACTTTAACTCTAGGAGCTGCAGCATTAAATCCAGAATCTCTGCTTAATATGGCTGTATCAATAAATTCATACTGATCCAATTTTATGCTCCCTCATCATCATTTCACACCCCTAATATCAGTTCCCATGTGTTCCTTGAATCCCCTCTTGTGTGAATTAGAAAGTCAAGTAGTTCTTTTGAGCACAGTGCACTTGTGGAACTTGGAGATCAAATCCCTTGATCTCACTCTTTTCCTTCATTACTGGGTCCACTGATGCTAGGAGCAACCAGTCAATATTATATTTCTCAGTTTTCAAAAGATGTTCAAAATCATCAGACATAGAGTTAGTAAATTTCTTGTATCTCATAGGAGTTGAAGTAGAACTAACAGATGGATTTCCTTTGAACATCTCTTTACACTGTTCATACCGTGGACCATCAGAAAGAGATTGTTTAGCAACTGTAGGTTAATCGAATTAAAGAGCCAACTCCAGAAAACCAGACAAAGAAATTCATTCTTCCAATTTTGTTTCTCTAGAACCACTGTCAGTACCAAAATCTGTATTTGTTTGGGTTCTCTAGAAGAAAAGAACAAGACTGTATATATCTAAGGTGTGTTATTAGGTTGGCTTACTGGATCAGAAGCTGGATCTTCCTCAATAGTCAGCTGCACACTGGAGGCCAGGGAATCCATCAGCTGCTCACCCCAAGCAGCTGGGAGCCTCTGAAGAAGAGGAACCAATGATGCAGCCCCAGCCCCAGGCTCAAGGCCTGGAAGCTCCCTGGAGAGTCACTGGTGTGAGTCTGTGTTGAAAGACTGTAGAAGCTGGACTCCAATGTCCACAAATGATGACAGCAGCAAAAGAGGAACCCACTCAAGATGAATCAAGCTTACTCATATTTACAGGCTTCCTGCTTGGACTTTTGTTCCACCTGGGCAACCCAGATGGATTGGATGGTGCCACCCACAATGAAGACAGATCCCATCCCCCAGTTTGCTGACTCCGGCCAGTCTCTGGAAACACCCACAGACACACCCAGAGGTGCGCTTTTCTAATCTAGGTGTCTCTCAGTGTAGTCAAGCTGACAGTCAAGATCACACTATGAAAAGGACAATTTACCAAGGATGTCAGGGTATGGTCCCAAAGGGCACCGCTATCATTCAAGTGTTAATTGACAATGAATGAAGATGTGGCAGATATATTGGACTATTATTCAGCATTAAGAAAGAAGAAAATCACCCAGCCACAGTGGTAGAAAAATTTACTCCCAGCTACTCAGGATGAAACAGGATCCATGCTTGAGTCCATGCCAACCTAGGCAGTACAGTCAGACACACACACACACACACACACACACACACACACACATACACACACACACACCATTTGCAACAACACAAATGAACTTGAAGGACATTTGGCTAACTGATCTAATGTACAGCATAATAACTACAGTTAATAACACATTGTTCTATATTTGAAACTTGGTAAATGAAATTTTAAATGTTCTCATCTCACACAAGGATAACCATGTCAGATGATGGATGTGTGTATAAATGTATCAAAATGTCAATTTGAACACCACAAATAAGTAACATTGTATCTGCCAATTATACCTCGATAAAAAATTTACAATTTTGGTAAGTCTTTTACTGAGTAAGTTCTGCAATTAGATTTTGCATGTTAATTTTAAGATATAACATACACAGAAAGGAATAAACTTTTGCACCAACTATAATTGTTCATTTCTCTGATATTTCTTTCCACATATTTGTCATGGTTTTATAAAACTGGTTTTTTTGACCACTGTTTAATGGACAGGCAAATGGGCACATGCCCCATGGGCCTGCTTCCTGCAGGGACACCTTAGACATGTGGTATTGGCTCCTTCCATTCCTGAGGACATCAGCGGCATGTCTATGACAGGAAGGAGGATCTGAAATCCAGATGGGCTACTGGTAGATTGATAGAAATACCTGTGAGATTTCTAGTGGGAATTTGCTTTGAACATATTTTATTTGAACCAAGTAAAGATGCACTGTTCAAGAGACTTAAGTCTTTATTCACCTGAGAAATCTGCATAGATCCTGCTGGATCCTACCTGGACAGGAGAGATCACAGAGGGACAGGCTGGCTCCTGACCCCCTGAGTGCACAGATACTTTCAAGAAGGCTTGAGATGATCAAGGACCACGTGATCCCAGCTGCCATCCCCTACCTGGTCCCGCACTCCGCAGCCATCCCGCCAGTCCTCAGCACCTTTGTGACATTGGTTCTCCTCTGGAGAGAACTGAAGAGGAAGGATTACTGCACCCTAACCGCCTCATCCCATCCTGAGAGCCTGTAAAGGCTGCAAAGCCTGTTTGGGACTAGACAAGAATTGCTAACTACCTACTTGCATCAAACTCCCACTGGCCCAGCTAGGAAAGGAATCCAATCCCTCCTGCACGAAACAGCGCCCCCACCTTGCTCTCCAGCGCCTAAATTCCAACCTGGACCTTGAGGGTAAATCCCAGTTCCCCTTCCTGGCTGAAGCCGGATTTGGGCTCCAGAGACCGTCCCACGCCAGCGTCGTCGATTTCATAGGGGGCCACCAGGTGGCGCCGACACCCACATCAGAAGGGACAGAACCAGATACAGGCAAGACCTGCGACCTGCACCTGGATGTTTTAGCTCCGCAGTGCATGAGGTCACAGGAAGCCGCTCCAGCATCCTGGGTCCTTCTTGCTGGTGCTGAGGTCTTTGCAGAGCCTCTTCTTATGGCCAGGGCTTCCCGGGTGCAGCAGCGGCGCGCACCAGCCCCCCGCTGCCCGGCTGAGCTGTGTCCCTGGATGTTGATTCTGCCCCCGCGTCCCGACCGGGTGTCCCTGCGGTCACCGCCTCTGCCGCCTCCTCCGCGGGATGCTCGGTGGCCCGCTGCTGCCCGGCCCGTGATCCGGCGCTCCTCGGACGCCGCCTGCTGGCTGCTGCCGCTGCCGGTGGTACGCCTTCTCCTAACCCGGCGGGTGAAGCGCACTGCTTTCTCTCCCTCCTCAAGTGACTGCCAAACGCCCAGCTGCTGGAACTACTGTAGTTATGATGACAGAGAAAACGGTGTCTTCCTCTGAGTCACTAACACCTGTAAATTCGGCGGAGAATATTTAAGAATTGGAGACACTGTGACTTGCAACTGTCAGCTCCAGTACAACAGTGCCTGTGGCCCGCTCCAATGGGGACAGCTACCTGTTACAGGCTGCATGCAAATAGCAGGGTGAGGTGCTTGTGGTGTTGGAAGGCTCGTGTGCCAGATTCACAGTCAGGATCTGGGGATGGAGCCCATGAGGGCTTTGGGGAAACGAGTCAAAAGGAGACACTCATCTGTGATATTTGTCAGTTTGGTGCAGAACGCGATGAATATGCTGAGGATGACTAGTGTGTGTATGTGTGTGTGTGTGTGTGTGTGTGCAACAGTGACTGTTCTCAAACCAACTTCAGTGGCCTCCGTGCTTCTGATGGGAAACCTTATGATAATGCATGTCACATCAAAGGAGCATCATGTCAGAGACAGGAAAAAGTGAAGACAAGTGCTGGGATCAATGTCCAGGTGATGCAACTATAATTACTAATTCTGAAAATAGGCATTATGCAAGAACAGGTTATTCAAGGAATGCAACATCCAAGTTCCCCCTGCATTCCAGAGATTGCTAACAAAGTGCCACAGAACACCACATACCTTTTCCAGAACAGTACAATGGCTTCTGCATGCACACAAGTATGGACACTGTCAATTGCAGGCACTGTCCTGCAGGTGTGATAGTGATTACAGTCTACTGGACAACAGTGTGTAAAATGGAGATAGTGTTTTATACATTGTTCTCAGCCCTGTATGGTTTCAGTTTGTCTCATCACGTGACTAGAACAATTCAAATGGCTGTCTTCTGTGTGGTTGTCATCTGCATCACAAGGGAATGCTCCAGAAGCAACAGAATTCACAGACAGAAGCAAAATACAGGGTACTACAGTTCAGACAACACAAGAGCATTCACAAGTTTAATCTAAAGGGAGCATGTTTCATAGTGGCCAGACTTTGGAGACAATACAGCATTGTAGACAAAGAATAAAACAAGAGGCCTACACATGTTACCTTGCATTTGTGGTAATCTATACTGATAAAAACATGTACTACAGCTATATTTGATTATGTGTGGATGTATTTGAAATAGTATGCATTGTCTTGATTTTTTTCTGTAATGTAAATAAACTATATCACACACAAAAAAGAAGAGGAAGAGAGAAGAAGAGGAAGAGAGAAGAAGAGGAAGAGAGAAGAGGAAGAAGGAGAGGAAGAAGGGAGAAGAAGAAGAGAGAAGGAGAAGAAGAAGAAGAAGAAGAAGAAGAAGAAGAAGAAGAAGAAGAAGAAGAAGAAGAAGAAGAAGAAGAAGAAGAAGAAGAAGCGAAGAAAGAAGAGCCCTGAAATCCCTGGACTTTATCCACAGACACCCACTGGCTGCCCAACCTCCACCAGCTTCCTTGTGAGTATTTCTTGCTGGAAGTTGAGTCCTGCAGCAGTGATCTGGGAGCCAGAAGATGCCCATGACAGAACTCCATCGGAAGCAGCTGCTGGGGACTGGGTTGAGCCTTTGGGCAGCCTCTGAGACCTCAGACAGCAGAACCTGGTACCAGCACTGCCATTGGCTTTCAGAAGGAACCTCAGTATCAAGTCATAGAAGATACAAATGTAAAGCAAAACACAGCTATATGTGCTCCAGGTGTGAGAGTTATGGACATATCTAACTTTATGGCAGTAAACATGAAATCTTTGCTGAAATGAATATATTATTGGAGAAATATAACATCTAAAAATGACTCATGGGGAAATAGTTGTCTTTTAATCATTGAAAAAAGAAATACATATTCATAAATTTTCCCAAAAAGAAATTGTCAGGCCCTCACACTGAAAATGTTTTTAAAAATTAATGAAGAAATATCACTTTGCACAAGATTAAAGCAAGGGAAACATATCTCATTTATAGTAAGGATGCTTCACAGACCCAAATCCCTAAAGATAATACCAGAAACAAGCTGAGTGCTACTTGTCATTCCTGAACACAGATGCAACAATCTTAATCAAAATATTAAAAAACATAATCCAGCAATACATAAATAGTGTATATACAGCTTGACTTAGTTGACTTTTGGCAGAACATAGTGTTTATTAGCCCAGCATGGAGGGGCATAGATGCCGTTCTGGCTACGTGGGAGGCTGAGTGAGGCGGGAAGATGGCAAGTTCAAGGCTTAGGCTGCCTTGAACTTAGGCTGCCTTGACCTAAGCAAAGTAGAGACCCTGTTCCAAAATAAGGGCTGTGGGTGGATCTCAGTGGTAGGGTGCCCTTGGTTTTAATCCCCAGTACTGAATCTTAAAAATAGCTTTTTAATGTAAGAAGACTCTTCTTAAAGCATTATATAATTTTAAAGGAAAAAATCATGATGGTTTCTATCAATGAGAAAAGAATATTAAAACTCCAATCACAATCCTGTCTTCTATATATGATATTCTGTCCTCACATTCTGCTGCATAAATCTTTTTTCTTTTTTTCCCCTGGTACTGGGGATCAAACTCAATATGTCATGCTTGCAGGGCAGGCGCAGCATCCCTGAGCTAAATCCCCACTCCTTCTGTTGCATAAACTTTCAATGGAGTTTTTAATCTCCTGGAAATATGTTTGCATCTGTTTTATGGATTCCATTTGTTTCCTGTGCTGGGATTCCATCATGTTCCTCAGCTCC